ACTTGGATGAACTAACACTGTATCTTAATAGTATGAAAGCACTAGATTTTACTACAATCTTGAATTAGAAATGTTGTAATCTTTTGACTTATCTGGGCTAAAACTGCATCAAACATATTTAGTGCATGTACTTTAAATGTTATTGAACTTTTTCAGTCAAATTTCAAAAAAGATTATTAAACTGATTAAGATACCTACCAAATCCTGAAATAAACTATTTTGTATATGAAGCCAGTAAATTTAGATACTATCCATGTAAACTAATTAATTCTTTGAATAAACTTATTCTTAAAGGATATCAATTAAACACAGTATTAAAATCTCTGAATATTGTTTTTATTTGTATAAACATTGATTTTGTATTTGAAAGATTAAAACATACCTAAATATATATTGCTATATATCGACCTACATTATGTTGATACTGTTTACTTATATTTTTAAGCATTGCACAAGGTCATGCGTTTCTTAGACCGTTTATGACGCCTTATACTAAATCCATTGGACGTGTAATGGTTGATATTTTTAATTAGTTTGGGAGAAAATGATTTATTTATTAGTTGTAATTGGAACTGCAAGCTTTGAACTAGCTTTCAGTAACTTTGAGTACTCTTATTTCGGTGCTTTGTGTCTATTGTTTTAATGTTAGTTGTGTTTGCGCCTCGTACCAATTTTATGAGTTATAGGCCAATTGCAACTGATTTTTATCTCGCCTGCCACAAAAGTGGCATAGGGATTACAATACGGTAGCGGTGACGGCGTAAACTATTTGTATAAAGCTTTATATTTCAGAGGCTAGAAGACGTGGATGCTTCAAACATTATATACATATACCTTATGTTACGAAGTTTCCATCTGTCATATGTTCGTCGTCCTTGACCTCATTTTTACAGTTCAGTGACTGCTTGAAAAAAATACTGTTTTTTTTTAAAGTTAAATACTCTCTTATGAGTAATAGGATAACTATATTTGGTATATGGGTTCCTTGCAAGGTCTATGTGTCCAACTGGCAGGTTTCATCTGACCTTGACCTCAATTTAATGGTTTGTTGGACAATGTTTGGTCTATTTCTAAGATACTAAAAGCAATAGGTCAAGAATATTTGGTGTATGGAATGATTGTATAAGTGTACATGTCCAACTGGCAGGTCTCATCTGACCTTTACCTCATTTTCATGGTTCATTGAACATTTTTATTTTGTGGTTTGGTCTAGTTCTCAGATACTATCAGCAATAGATCAATTAAGAATGATTGTAAGATGTACATGTTGGACTAGCAGGTTTCATCTGACCTTGACCTCATTTTTCATGGTTCATTGAACAATGTTTAGTTTTTGTGGTTTGGTCTATTTCTCAGGTACTATAAGCAACATATCGAGTATATTTGGTTATGGAATGATTGATTGTAAGGAGTACATGTCTGTGTGGCAGGTTTCATATGACATTGACCTCATTTTGCATAGTTCAGGTTTTTGTTGTTATGTCAGTTTATCAGTTACTATAAACAATAGGTCAACTATATTTGGTGTATGGAATGATTGTAAGGTGTACATGTCTGTCTGGCAGAGTTCATATTACCTTGACCTCATGTTCATGGGTCATTGGTCAGTGTTAAGGTTCTGTGGTTTGATCTGTTTCTCATGTACTTTAAGTGATAGGACTACTATATTTGGTGTATGAAATGATTGTTCGGTATACATGTCTGTCTAGCATGGTACATCCGACTATGACTTTATTTTCATGGATCATTGATAATGTTAAGTTTATGTGACACTTGTAGTAAAACCTTCATATTACAGACTTTCAACGTTAATCCAATCATAAGTAAAATAGGCAAGACATTTCATTGTGTGCACTCTTGTTACAGGTTGTTCTTATGTTGTGCTGTTACACCACTGTCCCAGGTTAGTAGAGGGTTGATCGCTCACAAACCTGTTTAACCCCTCCACATGCTTTATGTGCCTGTCCAAGTCAGGAGCCTGTAGCTCAGTTGTTGTCGTTGGTTCATGTCTGTCATATTTGTTTTTCGTAAATTGTTTTGTTATAAATTAGGCCGTTAGTTTTCAAAATTGAAATGTTTCACATTTAGCTGTTGGTGCCTTTTACAGCCGACTATACGGTATGGTTTTTTCTCATTGTTAAAGGCCGTACGGTTGCCTATAATTGCTTGCATCCACTTCATTTGAACTTTGGCGGATAGTTGTCTCAATTGCAATCATACCACATCTTTTTATTTTTAGCTCACCTGGCCCAAAGGGCCAAGTGAGCCTTTCTCATCACTTGGCGTCCGTCGTCCGTCGTCCTGCGTCTTGCGTCCGTCGTCCGTAAACTTTTACAAAAATCTTCTCTGAAACTACTGGGCCAAATTTGACCAAACTTGGCCACAATCATCATTGGGGTATCTAGTTTAAAAAATGTGTCCGGTGATTCGGCCAATCAACCAAGATGGCCGCCATGGCTAAAAATAGAACATGGGGGTAAAATGTAGATTTTGGCTTATATCTCTGAAACCAAAGCATTTAGAGCAAATCTGACAGGGGTAAAATTTTTCAAAAATTTGGTCAAGATATATCTGCCCTGAAATTTTCAGTTGAATCTGACAACCCGTTGTTGGGTTGCTGCCCCTGAATTGGTAATTTAAAGGAAATTTTGCCGTTTTTGGTTATTATCTTGAATATTATTATAGATAGAGATAAACTGTAAACAGCAATAATGTTCAGCAAAGTAAGATCTACAAATAAGTCAACTTGACCAAAATGGTCAGTTGACCCCTTAAGTAGTTATTGCCCGTTATAGTCAATTTTTAACCATTTTTTGTAAATTTTTGTAATCTTTTACCAAAATCTTCTCCTCTGAAACTACTAAGACAAATTTAACCAAACTTGTCCACAATCATCATTAGGGTATTTAGTTTAAAAAATGTGTCCGATGACCCCGCCCGCGAACCAAGATGGCCGACATGGCTAAAAAATAGTACATAGGGTAAAATGCAGTTTTTGGCTCATATCTCTGAAACCAAAGCATTAAGAGCAAATCTGACAGGATAAAATTGTTCATTAGGTCAAGATCTATCTGCCCTGAAATTTTCAGACCAATCAGGCAACACGTTGTGGGGATGCTGCCCCTGAATTGGTAATTTTAAGAAAACTTTGCAGCTTTTGGTTATTGATATATATCTTGAATATTATTATAGATAGAGATAAACTGTAAACAGCAATAATGCACAGCAAAGTAAGATCTATAAATAAGTCAACATGACCAAAATTGTCAATTGACCCCTTAAGGAGTTATTGCCCTTTATAGTAAATTTTTTACAATTTTCATAAATTTTGTAAATTTTTGTAAATTTTTACAAAATATTTTCCACTGTTACTACTGGGCCAAGTTCATTATAGATAGAGATAATTGTAAGCAGCAAGAATGTTCAGTAAAGTAAGGTCTACAAACACATCACCATCACCAAAACACAATTTTGTCATGAATTCATCTGTGTCCTTTGTTTAATATGCACATAGATCCTGCTCCACGTGTGGCACCCGGCGTGTTGCTCATGTAAGTACAAACTGGGTGATAAGTCATGTTCGATAGGTCACATTCGGGGAAAAGGAGGACGTAATTGTGGTTACAACTATTGAAACATATCAGTCGTCATATATATGTAACATATATTCCAGAACGGCCAACCAACTCGTAATTTTCGAAGGGATGATTTCAATTTCACCACTTACAACTCTTGGTTTAATAGCTTCCTTGTGAGCAGAAACACTCTATCAAGGACATCATGATTGGAAACGCAAGTCTTTGAATATTGTATCAACTGTGAGATATATACTCCATACGCAGGCGCTGCTGCAATGTTGCTACATAGAAATGGAAAGTTCACAATTTGGAAGCAGAAATCATCTCTTTTGTCGTAAAGTTTTGTTCTCAACCGACCCTCATTGTCAATTTCTAGATATAAGTCAAGATATGATACAGACTTAATTGTATCTGTTGTAGCCTTTATTTCTAGTTCGTTGGCATAGATGCGTTCAACATAGTCACGAAACTTTGAACTATACAGTGAGAGGACATCATCTATATAGTTTTCATGGGAATGCCGATTTGTTGTTGAAAAAACACGTTCTCCTCACGTTACAAATATATTGTCAATCAAGAAATCAAGCATCTTGATAATGTCAGTTTCAGAGAATTTTTTGTTTGAATCAGAGATTTCTTAAAAAGTACAATTTATCCCTCCTTAAGACAAGGTACTTATATCGACGTTGGCCATTCTTTTTTATAAAACAAATTAAAGTAGGACCAACTCTTTTAGATTTTATGAGGAATACTTGTTAAAAGTGTAGAAAAGTCAAATGTTTTAATACTATTGCAAGATGAAAGAGTCTTAGATTGTATGTACTCTAAAACAGATCTTTGGAATTTGTTTAGTATCCACAACTGATTCATGCCGCCTCTAGAATAGGTAGTTTCACAATAATTTTAAAGCTTGGCTTTGTTTCGTGGGGCACTTTAAATACCCCGCAATATAACGTTGTTTGTAAAAAGACTTATGTAATTCAGGTATATCCAATACAGTGAAGGAATATCCTGTTCTTCATCTTTGGTTGAAATTTCAAAGGGACATATAACAGACCTATGGTTATCCAGGATATTCTCCTTGGTAAGTGTCGTGGGGGTATATGTTCAGTTTCGAAGTGAAAATGTATCATTTATCAATAAGTTTGTGTAATGTGATTTACACGCAAAAACAATGTCTGTATAGGATTTTATCTGTAATCCATTGTTTAGCATAATCATCGACTGAATCCATCAGTATTTTGAAGTTGTGTTTCCAATTGATGGATTTAGGCTCACGATATTTTCGGGCCTTTGGATAATATATTTCGCAGAGAAGTGTTATTGACAATGTGTAGGTCACCAGTAATAACGCGGCCACTTGGATTATATATGAATGGGGAACAAGCACAGGTGCAATCAGGAGGTTAAGACTTGAAGTCGTCAATATTGAGATCCTGTAAAACGTGTTTATAAATGTCAGTTATAGAAAGAAGATCCATCTCCATAATATATAGGTTCTTTATAAAATTCGGTAGAACAAATGATTCCAGCAGTACCCATGATATATAGACCATATAGGAAAATGGATTAAGGTTTCATGGAGTGCATACTGTTAAGAGTTGTCCGTCTTATGGAAATGTTTGTTAGACCAGGTTATATGCACAATGTGACACCTGGTAAAATTTGTCACAAGTCCTGTTCAATGGAAAAAAAAGCACTTGTACAGAACTCCTGTATTACTAAAACACTAAAACAGATCAGAAAAATTGTCACCAATGCCAAATTGTGAATTTAAAAGATTTTTTGATTGGTGTTTTTATCTAACATCCAGTGGAAAATTGGATTAAACCTTTTAGCAGATTTGTTTAGTGATATTAATAAAGACATACCTGTCCTAAGTCAGGAATCTGATGTACAGTATTTTTCGTCTGTTTATGTAGTTCATACGCGTTTCTCGTTTCTCGTTTTTATATAGATTAGACCTTTGGTTTTCCCGTTTGAATGGTTTTACACTAGTAATTTTTGGGGCCCTTTATAGCTTGCTGTTCAGTGTGAGCTAATGCTCCGTGTTGAAGGCCGTACCTTGACCTATAATGGTTTACTTTTATAAATTGTTACTTGGATGGAGAGTTGTCTCATTGGCACTCATACCACATCTTCCTATATCTATATATGGTTGTTGTGTTAATTCATAGTTTGTGAATAAGTCTAACAATTTGATATAGGACAGAAATATATAAGATTTAAAAATTTGCTGTTTTAAGAAATAAGAAAAGTTAATAAATAAATTCTAATTTTTATTTAGAACAAACAACACAGTTGATCAAAAGATTATTACCATATGGAGGACAAGGTAATGAACCACATTTTGCAGTTGTTGGATAAATCAGGTTTTCATTGTTGTTCCTTTCACCTCCTTGTACACACTCTGGGTCGCTGTCAACACAAATATAAGATGAAGCTTTATATTCATAAGCATTCGAGCCCAAGATACCATGATATTCCATTTTCCAGCCACGATAACAGGTCTGTCTACCTGGGATCATCACTGTTGCCGACGTATTTTCACTTCTGCAAAGGGCACATGGCACATCTTCTTGATCAGCACCTTTTTTAAAGTAGTCTCCATGTTCAAACTCTGTGCCATACAATACACTTCTTCCGGGACCCGTTATGTTACTGAGTTCAGGATTATTTGGAAGGCAAAGATAATTTGCAGGACCACCATAATAGGTTCCACGACTATATTCTTGTCCAGTAGCAAATCCTGAAATAATGTAGAAAGTTTTTTATACTTAAAATATTACTCTTGTTACAAAACATTGGCGAACATTTGTATATATTTTTCTTAAAATGGATGAATATGATTTCAATGTTTGTTTTCCTATTTTCAAAGAACAACATCAAAAAAAAATTAATAAAATGAATACTAGTAAAATATTTTTGATGTTTTTGAAAATGTCTCAAAGATCAAAGAAGGTTGATTTAGAGTGCAGAAAAAATGTTCGATTCAATATATAAGAAAGAATAAAAAGTACCTGTATATACTAACACAGTGTTTAAGGCAGAACACTGCTTTCTCCCCCATCTCACATATACAGATCCTTGATCTGAAAGAAGCAGTTCATCATTTTGTTAGTAGGATCAAATATTTTCATCTATGTAATGCACTTCTTATTTACACCATTAGAAAAGGGAAGCTCCTTGTTCTCTTATTTGTTCTTTAGTTCTGATGAACGTAATAAAGTGATAACTGTAAACTATTATTTTTCATAGCCGATATGAATTTGAGTAATTTAGGTGTCCAATGTAGAGAGAGAAGAACCCAAGTATATGTTTACTTGATTGTCTCAAGTCAGAAATTCCATCAGAGGGCAGTGTTTGCTTATATCTTAATAGTTTTATCCTTCAAAGCATGTGATCGATGTAGAATCCACATCTCCTGTTATTAGCTCACCCATTGTATACAATAATCATAAAAGGTTTTATGTTGATAAATTTTTAAAACATTTAAATGAAATCAAAGTTCTCCAATTTTTCAACAATGTTGGTAGAATATCTTCGAACCACTCCATCCCCAAACCAAAATAAGATGTGGTATGATTGCCAACTTATTTAAATACCAAATGACGTAGATGCAAGCAACTATAGGTCACCCTCAACAATGAGCAAAACTCATACTTTTATAAATCAAAGAAAACAACATAAAATTTGATATTCACTTGAATTGAAAAATATTTTAGTGCAATTTATTCACGAACTGCCTGTTCTACACATTTAGTAAGGTCCTTAATCTCCAATTAAGTTTCTGTGTACTAGACAGGTGTTTTCCCTCACCTTTCCCCTTTCACAAAATTGTGTTGTTTGTACGATACTTCGTTTGATGGCTTTTTATTGGCACAAAAGTATCATACCATTTTTCTCATCCAAATAAAGCTTTACACGGCAAGATGCTTCATCAAACTTAAGTTTTACACGGCAGTATGTGTCATCCCAAGAATCGTTGCACGACAAGATGTACCACCCAGGTAGATATCGTAGCTTCACACGATAAAATGTCTCATACATACTAAGCTCTCATCTGGTCTCATCAGGACGAAGTTTTACACGGCAATATGTCTGATCCAAACAAAGCTTTAAAAGGCAATATGTCTGATCCAAACTTTTTCCATTTGATAGTAAAAGTCATATTTATTAAGGAGATGTGTCCGTTTGGCTGTGCTGAATATATAAATAAGCAGTCATGTCTTGTCAGATTGTTGATTTCAAGGCCTCTTGTGGGGAACACTGTCATGCATTCTGCATGTATTAGATGCCGGGCAACACATTTTTTAGGAGTTCGTAAATGACCTCTTGCAAGGCAAAATATCAGTCCCTTTCCAATATGCCCCTTTTCCAGTGACACTCCAATTTTCCCGGTATACTCAATTTGCAAAACCTATCCATTTGATAAATTGTTAATTTGTTCTCATTCTAAATATACAGGAAATATTTCCCACTAAACGTGAAGCTAGCCCCAATTGTTTATTTTGTCTTCCAAAAAAGGAAAACAATTCTTAAAATACTCACAACAGAAGAACGTTTTGAAATCCAATCGGCATGCAACGTGATAATTGGATGACGCAATCGAATTGATGATAATAAAGAATAGGTTAAAATAATACAAATCCAGGGAGCTAGAGTTTAAAGTGTTAATGCAAGATAGTTTGTAAAGAAACCAGGGGGCTTGATTGAAACAATGTTAATGCAAGATAGTTTGTACAGAAACCAGGGGGCTTGATTGAAGCAATGTTAATGCAAGATAGTTTGTACAGAAACCAGGGGGCTTGATTGAAACAATGTTAATGCAAGATAGTTAGTACAGAAACCAGGGGGCTTGATTGAAACAATGCTAATGCAAGATAGTTTGTACAAAAACCAGGGGGCTTGATTGAAACAATGCTAATGCAAGATAGTTTGTACAGAAACCAGGGGGCTTGATTGAAACAATGCGAATGCAAGATAGTTTGTACAGAAACCAGGGGGCTTGATTGAAACAATGCGAATGCAAGATAGTTTGTACAGAAACCAGGGGGCTTGATTGAAACAATGTTAATGCAAGATAGTTTGCACAGAAACCAGGGGGCTTGATTGAAACAATGCGAATGCAAGATAGTTTGTACAGAAACCAGGGGGCTTGATTGAAACAATGCGAATGCAAGATAGTTTGTACAGAAACCAGGGGGCTTGATTGAAACAATGCGAATGCAAGATAGTTTGTACAGAAACCAGGGGGCTTGATTGAAACAATGCGAATGCAAGATAGTTTGTACAGAAACCAGGGGGCTTGATTGAAACAATGTTAATGCAAGATAGTTTGTACAGAAACCAGGGGGCTTGATTGAAACAATGCGAATGCAAGATAGTTTGTACAGAAACCAGGGGGCTTGATTGAAACAATGCGAATGCAAGATAGTTTGTACAGAAACCAGGGGGCTTGATTGAAACAATGTTAATGCAAGATAGTTTGTACAGAAACCAGGGGGCTTGATTGAAACAATGTTAATGCAAGATAGTTTGTACAGAAACCAGCGGGCTTGATTGAAACAATGTTAATGCAAGATAGTTTGTACAGAAACCAGGGGGCTTGATTGAAACAATGTTAATGCAAGATAGTTTGTACAGAAACCAGGGGGCTTGATTGAAACAATGTTAATGCAAGATAGTTTGTACAGAAACCAGGGGGCTTGATTGAAACAATGCGAATGCAAGATAGTTTGTACAGAAACCAGGGGGCTTGATGCAAGATAGTTTGTACAGAAACCAGGGGGCTTGATTGAAACAATGCTAATGCAAGATAGTTTGTACAGAAACCAGGGGGCTTGATTGAAACAATATTAATGCAAGATAGTTTGTAAAGAAACCAGGGGGCTTGGTTGAAACAATGTTAATGCAAGATAGTTTGTACAGAAACCAGGGGGCTTGGTTGAAACAATGTTAATGCAAGATAGTTTGTACAGAAACCAGGGGGCTTGATTGAAACAATGTTAATGCAAGATAGTTTGTACAGAAACCAGAGGGCTTGATTGAAACAATGTTAATGCAAGATAGTTTGTACAGAAACCAGGGGGCTTGATTGAAACAATGTTAATGCAAGATAGTTTGTACAGAAACCAGGGGGCTTGATTGAAACAATGTTAATGCAAGATAGTTTGTACAGAAACCAGGGGGCTTGATTGAAACAATGTTAATGCAAGATAGTTTGTACAGAAACCAGGGGGCTTGATTGAAACAATGTTAATGCAAGATAGTTTGTACAGAAACCAGGGGGCTTGATTGAAACAATGTTAATGCAAGATAGTTTGTACAGAAACCAGGGGGCTTGATTGAAACAATGTTAATGCAAGATAGTTTGTACAGAAACCAGGGGGCTTGATTGAAACAATGTTAATGCAAGATAGTTTGTACAGAAACCAGGGGGCTTGATTGAAACAATGTTAATGCAAGATAGTTTGTACAGAAACCAGGGGCTTGATTGAAACAATGTTAATGCAAGATAGTTTGTACAGAAACCAGGGGGCTTGATTGAAACAATGTTAATGCAAGATAGTTTGTACAGAAACCAGGGGGCTTGATTGAAACAATGTTAATGCAAGATAGTTTGTACAGAAACCAGTGCAAGATAGTTTGTACAGAAACCAGGGGGCTTGATTGAAACAATGTTAATGCAAGATAGTTTGTACAGAAACCAGGGGCTTGATTGAAACAATGTTAATGCAAGATAGTTTGTACAGAAACCAGGGGGCTTGATTGAAACAATGTTAATGCAAGATAGTTTGTACAGAAACCAGGGGGCTTGATTGAAACAATGTTAATGCAAGATAGTTTGTACAGAAACCAGGGGGCTTGATTGAAACAATGTTAATGCAAGATAGTTTGTACAGAAACCAGGGGGCTTGATTGAAACAATGTTAATGCAAGATAGTTTGTACAGAAACCAGGGGGCTTGATTGAAACAATGTTAATGCAAGATAGTTTGTACAGAAACCAGGGGGCTTGATTGAAACAATGTTAATGCAAGATAGTTTGTACAGAAACCAGGGGGCTTGATTGAAACAATGTTAATGCAAGATAGTTTGTACAGAAACCAGGGGGCTTGATTGAAACAATGTTAATGCAAGATAGTTTGTACAGAAACCAGGGGGCTTGATTGAAACAATGTTAATGCAAGATAGTTTGTAAAGAAACCAGGGGGCTTGATTGAAACAATGTTAATGCAAGATAGTTTGTAAAGAAACCAGCGGGCTTGATTGAAACAATGTTAATGCAAGATAGTTTGTACAAAAACCAGGGGGCTTGATTGAAACAATGTTAATGCAAGATAGTTTATAAAGAAACCAGCGGGCTTGTGTGAAACACAGGGGGCTTGATTGAAACAATGTTAATGCAAGATAGTTTGTAAAGAAACCAGCGGGCTTGATTGAAACAATGTTAATGCAAGATAGTTTGTACAGAAACCAGGGGGCTTGATTGAAACAATGTTAATGCAAGATAGTTTGTAAAGAAACCAGCGGGCTTGATTGAAACAATGTTAATGCAAGATAGTTTGTACAGAAACCAGGGGGCTTGATTGAAACAATGTTAATGCAAGATAGTTTGTACAGAAACCAGGGGGCTTGATTGAAACAATGTTAATGCAAGATAGTTTGTAAAGAAAACAGGGGGCTTGATTGAAACAATGTTAATGCAAGATAGTTTGTACAGAAACCAGGGGGCTTGATTGAAACAATGTTAATGCAAGATAGTTTGTAAAGAAACCAGCGGGCTTGATTGAAACAATGTTAATGCAAGATAGTTTGTACAGAAACCAGGGGGCTTGATTGAAACAATGTTAATGCAAGATAGTTTGTAAAGAAACCAGCGGGCTTGATTGAAACAATGTTAATGCAAGATAGTTTGTACAGAAACCAGGGGGCTTGATTGAAACAATGTTAATGCAAGATAGTTTGTAAAGAAACCAGCGGGCTTGATTGAAACAATGTTAATGCAAGATAGTTTGTACAGAAACCAAGGGGCTTGATTGAAACAATGTTAATGCAAGATAGTTTGTAAAGAAACCAGCGGGCTTGATTGAAACAATGTTAATGCAAGATAGTTTGTACAGAAACCAGCGGGCTTGATTGAAACAATGTTAATGCAAGATAGTTTGTACAGAAACCAGGGGGCTTGATTGAAACAATGTTAATGCAAGATAGTTTGTACAGAAACCAGGGGGCTTGATTGAAACAATGTTAATGCAAGATAGTTTGTACAGAAACCAGGGGGCTTGATTGAAACAATGTTAATGCAAGATAGTTTGTACAGAAACCAGGGGGCTTGATTGAAACAATGTTAATGCAAGATAGTTTGTAAAGAAACCAGGGGGCTTGATTGAAACAATGTTAATGCAAGATAGTTTGTACAGAAACCAGGGGGCTTGATTGAAACAATGTTAATGCAAGATAGTTTGTACAGAAACCAGGGGGCTTGATTGAAACAATGTTAATGCAAGATAGTTTGTACAGAAACCAGGGGGCTTGATTGAAACAATGTTAATGCAAGATAGTTTGTACAGAAACCAGGGGTCTTGATTGAAACAATGTTAATGCAAGATAGTTTGTAAAGAAACCAGGGGGCTTGATTGAAACAATGTTAATGCAAGATAGTTTGTACAGAAACCAGGGGGCTTGATTGAAACAATGTTAATGCAAGATGTGAAGAAAAATTGCATCAGAACCAGATCATATAAATGTTGCCAATGTTAAAGATGTAACGTACTTAATCCTTTCATCATAAAGAACTGCGTATAATATAAAATCGTATATTTAAGTGTTATTTTTACCTTTTAATACTTGAGTAAGAGCCGTTTGTAACTGAAAGATAATAGTCTGCATTTTAGCTTTTTCCTGTCCAAATTCTGTTTGCAATTGAGATGTCAGTCTTGTCATCTCTTGCATGGATTTCTCTATATTAGATAATCTGGAGCCAATAACATCTGGGTCGTTTAACAAAAGCCGCTTAGTCTCTTCAGTTTTTGCCAACGAAATAATACACAAAAACGAAACAAAAAAATAATCCATTGCAGTTCTAATATCACGAAATGAAATAGAAGTATTATATGTAATACACGTAACGAGAACTTAACCTAAAGATAATACAAAAATGTCACGTTATCTATGATGTGGTCAAAATTTGTGTGTAGACGTATGGTGATTAAGAGTTCTTTTATACAGAGACCCAATTGGTTGACTATGACACTGGGGGAGGATCCTAGGACACCAAGCTGTCAAGGGGACACTGTCACTATTTCTCACACTTGCTTGCCACTTACAAATGTTTGGACCTCCCCTCCCAACACTTTTAAATCTGCTCGTATGCAACAGCTGGTTGATTATACCGTCAAACCACGTAGTATTACTTTGTCGAGACTTATGTTAGTCCAATATAAATGGCGTTGTATTTATCGTTTATGAAACTTTTAGTTTCTATAGTTAGCGATAAGTTTATCTTCACCCAATTGCCCCGTGCATATGCGCATTATCTTTTGAACCATCAATAAGGAAGCCGTGATGTGTATTTCATATCGTTCTACAGTTTGTTTTAGAAGTCGTTACACGCAAACAAAAATTCATATCAGTAGTTATGATCTTGCATCGATGTGCACCGATGAATTAAAGTTGAGGAACACGAGTAAAGTTATAGACGCATAAAATCTTCCTCAACCATTATTATTTGTTTATTTCTCACTTTTTGGTGAAACAAAGTTCTTTCATGAACGGTGATGTCATGTGAATATCATATTAGTACATTATGAATTTGACACTTGTCAAAACTATCTGAATAATCGACTCTAAATAGCATTTTTTGTATTCCTAAACAGTTGACGAAGGAAGGCTATCACTTGGTAACATTGAAGTAAATGATATTTTAAAAACATTAGACAATATTTTTGCAACAAAAAAAAGAGATAAACCCTTTTTAAAACTGTTCAATCAGTCCTAGAAAAAAAGGTTTGGTCGCTTACTCCCGAGGAGATCATGCTACTTTATCCCATATTGATTCAAAGAGTAAAATTATGAAATCACCAGTGCAAAACTAAAGAAATTTCTAAAGTCCCTTTGGCTTAAAGACCTTTTGAGGGACAGGAATACAAAGGCCAAATATCTACATCGTGCAGAAAAGATAGATTGTTTTGATAGCCTTATTTTATGTGATATTAGGCCAATAGTACTGACGTTGCGCGCGATATTTTTACTTGTGAGCTTATATTTAATAGGTGTTTTTGTTGATTTGATTTCGGTTTTTCGAGAAAAAAAATGCATAGTTTTTACTAATGAGAGTTCAAGTGGTCACATATTTAGTTTTTTAATGGATATTTCAGTTTTCAGCCGTTCAGTTTCATAATTGACATTTATCCTTTTTGCCAGCAGTTCGCATTAATGAATGCATACAATGTACAGTAATATCAAAATTTAGACATATTTTTTTAACATAAATTAGATATTGAATTGAAAATTGATTTTTGTATACTTTTTGTATAAATATATAATACTCCTTTCATTATATTTCGCTTTGCTTTTTATCTAGAGTAGTAAAATTTTTGGAAGTCATATTTTTCACATTTCCTTATTTTGTGGCACTATGCATGTCTTTTGTTTGTTATAATTTAGCAATGGGGTTTCTCTATTTTTTCTGCTTTCAATTAACGATAATATCATATTGTTTTCTTATATAAATTTGAGACCTGTAGATAGACGACGATCTTTAGTGAAAAACAAATTGATCTCGAAAACGATGATCGCGGTGTTTTTTTTTTTTTAAATCGCATTTGATCAACATTTGATTTTTAACTAAAACTTTCTATTCTTATACATGGATATATTAAAACTAATATTTCACACTTTTAATCGAATCAAACGCGGAAACAAACAATTATAACATAAATTTTAAATCACGAGCATATGACATCAGTTACCGTTTTGCGGACGTTGTGACAAAACGGCTATGCTTTTGATAATTCTAACTTCTTTTTTCGGTTTACATTTTCAGTTATGTTGATTTCGCTTTAACAAGCAAATAACTATAACAAAAGCAATATTCTTGTTATGTTTTACAATGATCAGAAAACAATACTATATGAATGACAAAAAAACTCAGATGTTTTGCACACAAAATGGAACATTGGACATGACATTTTGCGTAAAAATGGGGTAATTTGGTGTTATAATTTTTAGTATTTTAAATATCGATTCTTTTTTTTTTAATTTCCAATCCTATCAAACCCAATGAAACCAAAAAAAAAAACTATATTTTTATCGAGCTGACCAATCAACACATTGATTTGTTTTTCATAAAACGCTATAGCAAAATGAATTCGTACCAACATCGTGCGCAACGTCATTTACAGATAAGATAAGATAAGATACTAGTAAGATATCTTATTTTCCAAATAACGTCCCCCGGGGTCATACACATATAACAAATATATTCTTTACAACATGCAGTATTTTACATGACATTCATATACTACACCTGAAATATTGATATAAAGTGATACAGGCTATTATATGTAAAATAAAAACAAGAATTTAAGAGTTGCTACTCCAGAGATGTGGCAAATGTCCTCTCACTTGCTTTTATTTGCAGATTTGCAGGTTTTTTAATTAATTTTTTAATATTTTTGCTGGAAATGTATATATTTCATTGTTTAGCTTCAACAGGTACCAAGGGACGATGCTCTAGGATTGTGAGCTTAAGAGCTCTATCAAACCTCCTCGTATCTAATGCAGAGAAACAAACATAAAGGTAACAAAGGTACAAGTTTATTCACAGTAAATAACATATACTGCAATAAGAGGTATTGAGAATATAGTAGGTTTCCCAAGGGGCGGTGCTCAATGAGCTGTGTTATTTACACAGTCCTCCTCGTGTCTGAAGCAGACAAGAAAGCCACACCATTAACATCAATTTTTAAGTGGTGTGAAGAAATTCTGAGCTTTGTTAAGGTTCGTCTGTGTTCAAAATTCCCCATAATGGAAAGATGTTTTTCTCTTCCAAAATTTGATTTAAATGTAACATATTAAGTTCTAAGTTTACAATCTGAATACTTTATCCTTTCAGAGTGCCATAATTCTATAAAATATGATTTTAAATGTTTTTTCATATTAGCTTTGAAGCTATTAATTTTTGGTGATGATAAAGCTATATGATTGATGTCTGGGATCATTTCAAGAACTGACTTCATAGAGCCATACCAAGATGGTTTTTTTTTAATGAAAAAGAGTTTGTGATGTTACATAAGCATCTTTAAGAAGAGAAAATCTGGAATAAAGATTTTCCAAGCGATACCAGTATTTCAACATAGATTTAATTATATCATAATTAAATGGGAATCGCCTAGGTCGGATAAAATTCCCAAATTTGTGGATTTTTTATGAACACCTAAAACAAGTTTACTAAATTTGATGTATAGTCCCTTACATAATAAACTGGTATATATTTTATCAAATGGTAAAGTTCCATTTCTGAATCTTGCTGAAAATGGGTTAAAAGTTCCCGATATTTCAGACCCAAATATGGGAATATTGGGTTTATGGTATGATCAAATACATGTAAATTGGTACTTATGCTTGGATTAAGTGATAACAAATTACAATACACAGACCATAACTGTGTTTCTTTAAGATAAAATATTTAAACAGAGACCCACAGGGGAGGTGATACTGAAAAATGAAAAAAAAGGATACTAGAAAATGAATACTTTGTTAAAAATGCTCGAAATAATAAATAAAAAATCATGAAAATAAAGCAAAGCGGAAACATGCTCTTGATTTTGTATTGGATAACCTCAAAACTATTCAAGTTTGATACCAGACAATCAGTTATTGTAAATCAAGAACCATCTTCAAAAAGGGCAAGTTTGATTCTTTTAACTCAACTAAATAGTATTATAAACACATGCAATGATAATTACTAAATAAATTATAAACGAAGGTCGAAAATATAGAAAATAAATATGGAAAACTCTATAAGGAGAAAATAAAAGACACCGACAAAATTGGTGGAAGAAGGTGAGAAAAATGTAGCATATTTTCTATGGATGGAAATTTCTAGGCAGAGTAAAAAAAACAATTACACAGCTGTATAATGATAAGTGGCAAGTAAGGAGAGATAAAAATATTATGGAAATTAGATGTAAATTTTAAATTTCTATACTTAGCTGTAGATTTAATCATCTCTCAATGGTCACATGCACATGCAATTATCTTTTAAACCATTGGTTAAAGAAGCCGTTATATGTAATTTCACATCTTTCTACAGTTTGTATTTGAAGTCGTTACACGCAACAACAAAAAAATCATATCAGTTATCATAATCTTGCAAGATGAATTAAAAGTTGAGGAACATGGATAAAGTTATTAAAGTTTTAAATCCTCAATAATATATTATTTGTTTATTTCCCACTTTGTACTTTTGCTGAAACAAACTTTCATAAACATTGTTGTCATGCAAATATTAGTACACTATACCATCTAACACTAGTCAAATCTACCTGATTACATCGGTGGTCTCGTGGTAGAGTGCTCGCTTCGAGTGCGGTAGGTAGTGGATTCAAACCCCGGCCCGGTCATAATTAGAATTTGCTGCTTATCCGCTAAGAACGCTCCATTAAGGAGTAAGAGCAAAGACGGGTCGTGTCGGAGTCAGAATAACGTGTCCGAGTAGGATGACATGTCTTCCTGCTGACTGTTTCCTTGTGAACTAGCACATTAAACATCCAACTCAGCTTATCGGTACAAAATGAAAACAACATGTTAAAAATTTCATGCGTCCGACGCGTTTTTCTGGATTTTCCTTCATCAGAAACGTTCAAAGCCGAATATTTGAAAGGATGTATAAGTACAGAAACAATTGAAGAGCTAAATAACTAAGAAGGGACATAAAATAGTAAAAATTCATCTCAGGTCAACTTTGTTTGAGGGAGTTAAAAACTTGATTTCTTTATAATTTCAAAAATTTATATACAGGACAATTTTAGAAAGATTTTTTATTATTCATGTCAGTACCGAAATACTGACTACTGAGCTGATGATACTCTCGAGAACTGATAGTCCACCAACGAAAGCCAAGGATGTATAAGAGCAAAAACAGCTGAAGAGCTATATAACTTAAAAGGGATCTAAAATTAGCCAAATCCATTTAAGGCCAACTTTGCCTGAGTGAGTTGAAACCTTAGTTTCTTTATAATATCAAAATTTATAAACGGACTGTTTTAGAAAGATTTGTTGTAAATCATGTCAGTAGCGAAGTACAAGGTAGGGTTTATACTCATATCACGTCATCATGTTCTCGTCCTGAATATGCATTTGAT